TTTTGTTGTAGAGAGAGTATAAGCAATAATAGGAGGGAACAAGGGGTTTTGCTGGTTGAGATAAGGATAGCTATACAGGGCATTGACTCACATTGAAAGAAACTGATTTTTAATGAGACTAAGTACTTTGCTCAAAAAAGCTTTGATAGTAGGTGACAAGGTTGAACTTAAGATCTAGGTCTCTTAACTCCTATAGGCATCAACAACAGTCCTCAACTAAACAAAACAAAAACAAAAAACAAACTCAGTGATACATATGTTCATGTAAATATATATTTGTCTAGGATATAAGAAATAGTAATAAAAGTATGTATTTTAAGTGTCTGTTAGAATTATTTAACATTTCCAGTGGGGTGTGGTGGCTAATGCACATCATTCCAGCACTCAGGAAGCTGAGGCAAGATGATCATTTAAGGCCAGTCTGGGCTATGTAGTGATAACCTATCTCAAAAAACAACAAAAATTTCCATGGCCAGGTGCAGTGTCTCACACTTGTAATCTCAGCTACTCAGAGGTATAGATTGGGAGGATCACAGAAGAGGTCAGCACAGCAAAAAGATCGAGATACCCCCCCCATCTCAACCAATTAAAAAAAAAGTATACATATGCAATCCCAGATACACAGTAAGCATAACTAGAAAGATCATGGTCCAGGCCAGTCTGAGCATAAATGATGAGAAAAATACCTAAAGCAAAAAGGGCTGAGTGCCTGCCTAGGCACTCAAGTAGATCTTTTTGAGATCTTTGATCATACAAGGCTCTGAGTTCAAACCAGTACTGAAAACAGAAATATTACAGAGTAAAATTTCCATAGCTGTTACTCTAAATATATTTTAGTTTTAGGTTAAGATGTTGGACTGTGGCTAGTGGAGTGGCTCAAGTGACAGAGTGCCTGCTTAGCAAGCATGAGGTAGTAGTTCAAACCTCAGTACCACAAAAACAAACAAACAAAAAAGATGTTGGACTATATAAATACGTCCAATAACATCTCCTCCTGAAACTCCATTGAAAAGGAAGGGAAAGAAGCCACACTTGGTGGTACATATCTATAATCCCAGCACTCAGAAGGCTGAGGCAGGAAGATCTCCAGTTTGAGGCTAGCTAGCCTGGGCTATACACAATGAGATTCTGTCTCAACCCTCCCCCAACTCCCACACAGACAAAAAAAAAAAAAAAAAGGGAAAAAATCCCTCCTTTTGGTAAGAGGCATAAACAGAAGAATATGAGACAAAACAACAGCAACATAATTTTTGAAGCTGGGAGGCAGATGATCCAGAGCCAAGTAACAGATGTAGCAAATTTTCCCACCAAGTATGAGAGACCTCAAGGTTTCTGCATTTTGCATTCACTATTCACAGTAAGCCTGATATGGGTCAGTAAGTACACATATGTACAATGGAATGCCTCTATTTTACTCTCCACAGAATAAACTGCTAGACTCCTAGGTTTATAGCAATTCATAGTCATATATTTAACAGAAAAGTGGTTCTCAAGATGGCCTATAAACTCTGGGGGATCCTAGAGAATCTTTCAGAAGACTGTAAGGTCAAAACTTTTTTTCTAATAGTAGTAAAACATTTGCCTTTTTCATTGGGTTGATATTGGCACTAAGAGGAAACAAGCAAGAGTGATGCTAGCACTCGGGAAACTGAGGCAAGGGGATCATGAATTTAAGGCCAGTCTGACCTTGTAGTCATACCCTATCTCAAACGAAGAAAAAAGATCTACTCAGAAGATACAGATTGGAATGATCTCAGTTCAAGGCCAGCATGTGCAAAAAGTTCATGAGACCCCCCATCTTAACAAGAAAAAGAAAAAAAGCTAAGTGTGGTGGTGCACACCTGTCATCCCAGCTGCATGGGAAGTATAAATAGGTGGGTGCCAGGCCACGTCAACCTGGGCAAAAAGCATAACCTTATCTCCAAAATAATTAGAGCAAAAAGGGTTGGAGGCTTGGCTTAAGTGATAGAGCACCTGCCTTGCGTGCAGTAGGCCTGAGTTCAAATTCCTGTACCACCAAAAAAAAATTACAACTTGTTGAGGTTTGGTATAATATCAGAGAATATTCACAATCATCTGAAAAAGCTACTGAAAAATTCTCTTTTCCAATTATTTACCTGTGTAAGGCCTCATGTTCTTCATATAGTATAACTAAAACAACATATTGCAAAAGGTTAAATGGAGAAAGACAATTTTAGCATCTGATTTCCAAAAATCTAAAGCAGATACTTATCTCACTAAATTTTTGTTTTGGAAAAATACTTTTACTTTTCTTTAAAATGTATTGTTTTTGTTAAAATTTAGTTGGTTTACTGATAGCTTTAAATGAGTATTTTAAATTATTTTAGTTTACAACATGGCAAATACATGTTTTTTTGGTGGTACTAGGGTTTGAACTCAGGGCTTCATGCTTGCTAGGTAGGTGCTATACCACTTGAGCCACTCTACCAGTCCACAACATGGTATATACTGATAAACATAACCCACATACTGAAATCTCTATGGTGACTTGAGAAATGCTGTAACAAAGAATAAACTGTAGGCTTCCCTGAAAGCTTCCCTATACATTATTTGATAGGTGGGATGGGGTATTTTCCTTTACTCTTCATTCCTTATTTATTTATTGAGTAAGCACAGTACTAATCCGTTTATCATCTGAAAGGAAATTAAAAGCAATTATAACTTAAAAGCAATTCTGGGATAAGAAATAATACAGTGAATATAGCTAAGGATGAGATCTACAATACCTAAAAGGTACTTACTTCTCCACCGAGAACTCTGGCCAGTAAAAAAATTGTCAATGAACCAAATATCCAAATGGTTATAATCCATGAGACCACCTTAAGAAGAAAAAGCCATATAATTAACACTTTTATATCAAATGCTGATAATTTTTTTTTAGGAAATCAAATTCTCTGCTATATAAAATAGTTTGGCATGCCCAATTTCAGGGCATAGATGTATTTTACATTTTCAAGTGCCTTCCTAAAACTTAGTAAGAATGCAATGTTTAATACAATTTAACAGCCAAATGAAAATTTAGCAATTATCAATTGCCTAAGGAAATCTCAGTATTTTAAAATATATGATGCTAAAAGATAACTATAAAAAAAGGGGAAAGTGTTTACTATTAACCCTCTGGCTTACAGCATCCTGCAATGAAAATTCATTCCTAAAATACGTTGCTTTTTCTTTAGAAGTCTTTAAAACTTATATTAATTACATATTTATGTAAATAAAAGAATATAGAAGATATTTCAGAAAAATTTTCACTCCTCAGAATTGCTGTCTTGTGGGAGGATCTGCAGCTAACATTCCACTAGAACCGTAAAAAACACTGATTGCCCCAATTTTGGTTCTAAATATTCCCTAACTAAAGACCTTAGATTCCTTAGAGAAATAGTTGCTTTCACGGTTAGAATAGAGAAAATATAAGATTAACCTGGAAACATTTTGTGGGGGGGTCAAAGGAAAAGAAGTGCTCAAAAAACGGTGGGTTATGGTCAAAGGACATAGAAGGCAACTGGAAGGAGCTCCAAAGGCTAAAGCTGGAATAATTTAAGCAATAAAATTAATGATAATATTAGATTATAATCCAGAGAATAAAACATCTATGGTCCATATTGATTAAATAACTGAATAATTAAGTAACAGAAAAGAAAGGATAGCTGTTCCTTAGAGGATACACATTAATAAACATGGAAGGAATGAAGGAAATAGGAAAATCACTATTTAGTAAACACTATAGTAATAATTGCTGAATGTAAGATACATCGATGGATCCAAAAATTAGTAAGCTAAAGTATGATGAGAAATAAGATATTTGCCTAATTGCAAAACATCTTCACGAAGGCCTTATTTATAAAGAAAAAAACAGAACTGGAGCTATGGCTCAAGTGGTAGAGAGCCTCCCTAGTAAGCATGAGGCCCTGAGTTCAAATGCCACTACAGCAAAAAAAAAAAAAAAAAAA